TCACTCCTGCGGCACCTTCCCAGTTCTCTCCACTGGCCGCTAAGTTTTGAGGTGGGGAGGACCAGCTCCCTAAAAAACCCCCAAATGCAACCCCAAACTGTTTACTATTCAGGAAATTCAGTAATTATTGTCTCCCGTCCCTGTAGCAGAATTACCTTTCTTTAGATATTAGATACTTGGAGAGGCCCTTACGTTCACACTGCAAGGAGGAGACAAAGATTAAGACATTTTCAAGTATTTTGCCGCACAACAAAGAGTATCAAGGCAGAAATCAACAGCTTATAGATTTCTGCGAAGCACACAACTCGGATATTTTCACTAAATGCATTATTTACTAGCCTATACTGAACTGTCTGCCCTTTGGCACTTTTCACTGTTTACTTACACCATAAGTATCACCAAAAGAGCATTACAGAAAGAAATACTATACCTCAGTTCCAAGCAAGGGCATCTTGGATTAGAAGGCTGAAAATGCTTGGTAAATATTAGTTTAGTCTCCCAATATATGTGTAATGAAATCTCCTATGCCTCATTTATAGTGAGGAAACTGAGGCAAAGCATCCTGCTCTAAGTTAAGCATCCTGCTCAAAAGCAAAAGAGAAATAAAAAGTAAAACATGTTTTTTAGGTTTTCTTTGCTTAACCAAAGAGCAAAACTCTTTTTCCAGAGAAAGAAGTAAAAGAACAGAAAACTGCAAGGCAGACAACAAAGGCTCAAATCAGATTAAAAACAATACACCAAAGTAGCCTTTATGATGCACATTTTGCTGTTTTCTATGAAGCTGTAGCAATACATTCAATAAAACAAATAGGGAATATTCAATCTTTTCTATTTACTAAATTCTCATCTGCAACTACTTTTTTTTTTTTTTTTTTTTTTTTTTAAACTGGAGAGAGGCAAAGCATTCTCCCCAAAATCTGGCAGCATCCATTAAATCTTCTTAGGCCACCCAGAGATCTCCCTTGATAAACCACTCGTCAGCTACTGAAATACCCTCATAAGCCATAAAGACAACATTTACACTCAAGCTAATCCAACTCCTCAAAGGAAAGCAGAAAGTAGAGTGAAGCCCTTTGGGTCAGAACTTGGTTGGCTTGAAGAAGAAAAAAAGTGGAGTATCTACTCCTACTGGTAAGCAAAGTGGATTAAAACAGCAGCAAAGCTCACCACTTCAATTTTGTTGCTAAGCTACATAGATATTTTGGAACTCTAAAGTTTATTTTAACAATATCTCTGTAGAAATTAAGCCCATTAGATAGAAGTCTCCCAAAAAAGCACATTTATTCTTCAGGGGAGCCAGAACAACTCACATACAAATCAGCAACACATCCTAGTTTACCCTAATTTCCAAAATCACAGGTGGGCAGGGATCAGAGTAGGTCAGCTCCTCCTCCTCCTTTCCCTGCTGAAGCAGGTTCATCCCAGAGCACATGGCAAGGGACTGTGTCCAGACAGTTCTGGAATACCTCTGTGAGAGGGAGTCTACAACACCTCTGGGCAATCTGTTCCAGTGCACCTGAACAGTAAAGAAGTTTTTTCTTCTTGTGTTCAGGTGGAGCTTCCTGTGCATCAGTTTCTGTCCATTGCTTCTCATCCCAGTGCTGGGCACCACCAAGAATGGTGTGACTGGATGCCTGGCTCCATCCCCCTGACAGCCTCCCTGCAGATAGTTACAGACATGGATGAGGCCCCCTCTCAGACATCTCTTCTCAAGGCTGAACAAGCTCAACTCTTTCAGCTTTTCCCTATACGATATTTGAGATCTTCAGAATCCCAGGACATCCTTAGGCCATTCTGACAATGGTTATTAAACACCAAAATGATACCTTCCTAACAGGTCACACTGACACTACAGAGCCTGCAGCACTCACGCAGTGTACACAGTAAATTCATCCACTTCACAGCTTCCTTCTAGGGGGGTTCATGTTGGTAAACTTATGGTAGGAGTGTCACAGTTTGGATCAGTTGTCTCAATGGTGACAGCAGAAATCCTCTCCCAAGCAGCAAGGCCCTTCGTCCTTGTGTGCCAATGTTCATGCATAGCAAAGACAGCAGCTCTGAGACAGAAATGGGTTTAGTCATTCACATCCAGGGCTTCTACCCCTGAATATTCACACAATTTCAGCTTTGGAGGTGTGCAAAGACATATACCAGATATAAGAGAAAGTAAAGGAGGACTGTCTAAAAATAATGGATGCTGCACTGCCACGTGCAGTTTACATTTGGCCTTCAACCCTAAGGAGAAAATTTCTTTTTCCCATTCTTGCTGTAGGAACATCTGCCAGGCAGGCCATGAAGGAGTAAGTGTGGGCAGAGCAAACCCCAACCCACTCATATTTATTTATTGGCTTAAATTCTCAAGAGGCACTTATTGAAATATTTGTTATTCATTCAGCAAACAAAGAGACTCTTCAAATATATTTGACAAACTGTTTCCAGTCACAATAAAAAGTCAGTCTCACAACATTCAACATACAGGTTTTACTTTACTCAGAGAAAGATGTGGCTTAGGGGATGGAGCATGAAGGTAAACAGGGTGAAAGAAGCCAGAAACCACCTACACCAGAAACTCTGGATAATGCCAGATCGTAGCCTTGTTTTGGTAAGTTTCTTCTTATCTGCCTTAACGATTTCTTTCTATAAATCTTGGGGCATCAGGAAAGAACTTTTCACCAAAGATAGTAGAGAACATACATCCAGTGTTTTAATAAAGTTGCATTGATTTTATCAGCATGTAAACATCATTTTACATTGATGGATGATAATAAAGTCACGCCAAACCGAAATTGGAGGAATCGCAGAGTCATAGATACAACAGCACGTGGGACAAGTGACACTGTCCATGCAGCATCTTCTCCATGCTCTGTGTCCCCATCTGAGCTGTGAGCATCTGGTTTCAGAATGGTTCAGGACACAAGAGAGATGTGGTACTACCTTGCTCTGCCATAAGCTATTATTTCGCACCTGTGAGGGTTAATCCAGTAACCCCTCAAATTAGACTCACACTGTCTTTACATTATTGTACTGAGCAAGCAGATGGCTTACCTTATGCCACCATCACACTCAGCTGTGTGACTGCTCCTGTCAGCTCTATGAGTGAGGCTAAGACCATGCTATCACAGGCTTTATAAGCCAAGCTTTACAAGCATGCTGTTACTTCCAAACATTTAATAACTTTTAAGGATTTTTGTTCTGCAACTCTTGTCTTGACATTTCATCTTGCACATACAGCAAATGCAGCACATCTGGAACTGATTGAGCCTTCTGGTGTGGCACAGATTTGCTCTGCTCCTGTCTCACAGCCATGCTGGAATGCTGAGAGCACGACAGCACAACAGACGTTAAGCTCAGTGCTTAATTTTATGTCCACAGGCAGCACGAGCCCACTCCCGCAGTGGATAATCTCATCTTCAGTCATGGTGTTCTCTGACAGCAATTTACAACAGTGGCAGAACATCTTCCCAGGTGTTAAACTGTTTACTTTACCTGTGCAGGAGGTTGGCATTTGGTTTTATATAAAATAATTGTGACACCAAGGCAGCTGCCTACAAGCGAAATGATCAGTGACTCTTCCATTTCCATAACAATATGGGACTGTTGCAGGTAAAATGATTTCTTATTGACACAAAATAAATCCTTACATGTCAAACCTTCCACAATATGACCATTAGCACAACCAACAGAATAACAGAAAAGACAGTGAGAATCAGAGCAGAATCTTTTGTGATATTAAAGAGAATTTTCCATTACTTCAGCTGTCATCTGGACAGGACTGTGTGATAAAAAGCTTCATTGGGAATTCGATATTTAGTAAGTCTTCTGTCTCAGCTGAGTGAGCAAAAAAAAAATCCAAACCAACACACCAAAGCTTTGAGCACATAAATTAATGTCACATATGACTACAGTTTTGCTGCAGCATTTTCCCTAAAACTGGCTGATGCCAACAGTAAAGCCCCACTAAGAGTAAGAGACTTTAGAAAAGATGAGAGATGTATGGGTCCTTCCAAGGCTTTTGACTACACAATACATTGACATTCTTCTTGCAGCTACTGTAAAATTTACCTAGAAAGAATGAACAGATCAAATAATTAAAAGGAAATTAGACAGTCCAACACAGCAGAAAGAGGGGTTTTGTTTTCCTGCCAAGAACAGACAATATATTTCCTGAACAAAACCCCTTTTCCACTATGTTCCTCCACCAACTTGCTAGTCTATTTCTCTGTGCAGCAGTCCACAAGTCATAAAAAAAAAAAAAGGTAGGCAGCATCCAGGAGCTTAAATGCATAGATCAAAATGGTGAAAGATCCATCCCTTGTTCTGAACGTAAATCTAACCAAGCTGGACTGCTGAAAGAACACACTTTCATCAGCAGTATTTACTGCTACACTGTTGGCAGGATCATAATGGCCCTAACCAAGGATAAGAAAACATTTGCTTTGCTAACCTACAGCTCCCAAAACATTTCTATGCAGGTCAGTCCCCAAGGATCCCATTTCACTGTCCTTCCTTAGACTTTCAGCTCATTTTGATGAATTCTCTAGCCTTTAATGGATGCAGCCATAATCCTGCAAAGGAGCTGTGCTTGAACTGGTTGTAGATGAACACACACTGAATCAGAACTATGCAGAAAGCCTTCTGGGGAATCTGAGAAGCCAGGTCATGGTGTTTGAAAACTAAGTATCATCTTAAGGAGTTACAATTAAATTCCAGTATAATGTACAATATCCATGCACTTCAGCTATTTGAGGCAGGGATGTATGCTGGAGCAGTACCAGAGTTAATTTATGGGGCCAACCATCACTTGGAATCTCTGCTGCAGAAAACGTTGTTCTTGAATCTAAAATTCACAGTAAACCCTGTGCTCTAAACTGAAAGCACAGAGCTGAGACTCACTATGTGATATCATGACTTCCTAGGAACAACCAGCTGGAAAAATGAATGTCTCAAGTGTATAAATGTTTTTCTTAGATTTTTGCAAGTAATTCACTGTGGAGCTGATGTTTTATCTCTAAAGGTGAGTGAGTCTTAACAGGAGATTCTATGTCTGACACATATGTAGTGGTTGGGATCTGCCGTGGGCCAGGAGCACTGGCCCAAACACACAGGAATGGCAAAAGAGGAGATTTTGAGTCTAAGGCACAAATTTCTGATACCTTCTAAATAAAGGACCATTGTTTCTGCTTCCTTTTCTTCAGTGAACAACACAGCACGGGGTAAGGATACCTCTCCACCTTTTGACTCTTTTTACTTCAATTAGGAAATATATATTTGGACCTTTTTCTCACTCTGTCCTGGAAGAACACCTTATAGTGACTTCCCACAATAACACAGGGCATGTCTCTACCACTCCGGAGCTGGCATGAGGAGTGTGCATCTGCAGAAACTCCCCACCAACTGCACTTCAGCTGACATCACAGAGAAGTCTTAGAGAATGTGATTCAGAAAAAAACAAAGATGAAAATGCGTTTCAGGAGTGCACCTGTTTTGCTGCAAACAAACATTAAATCCCAAGAACTAGAGTTTGTGTGAAACAAATAACTATGTGAAACAAATTTTTGTGAAACAAATAACTATGAAACATAAAGCATCACGTCTTCTCCAACAATTTTTCCCTAAACAGCTATTCCAACTCAACTGCACTTCCTCGTAAACATTGCCACAGAACCCTATACAGAATGGGTGTTTATAAGACATTCCCAAAGGGAAACAGGGAGGTAGAAGAGGAGAGAATAGCTTGGAATCAACTCTGTTCTTCAAGCTCAGCTAAACCACCAGAGTGCCAAGATGGTTAACTTTACAGAAAAAAAACATGCTCTAAGAAAACTGAAATAGGCAACAGATACCTGCAAACATCTACATTTGTTGTCTTCTCTCAAGGGATTCTAAAGATCGTGTTTGTTAATGGAATCGAGATTGTTTCACTGGGCAAATGTTGAAGTGAAGGGAGATGACCCACCTTTGTGTTGGTCAGCATCGACTCCAGTTTATTGATCAAATTCAACACCTTTTACAACAGTGCTAATTCACTTCATGCATATTGCAAAACCTGAGCTCTCGATAGGCTGTAGAGAAAACTTCAGCTCCTCCTTTTGTTTACAATACTTGAAGTTAGTTTATTGAAACCAAGATCAGTGTTCTCACCATGATATGAAAAGTTCCCAAAACCTTTATATCTGTTCCCAGAACGGCCATCTGTTCCTAGAGCAGCCAAGGACAGGATATCTGCCTGTTTTTGAGAGAACGGTCTGAGAATCTTGTTGTATAAAAGGTGGCTGAGAACCTTAATTATTTACAGAATCAAGCCTGGGAAAGGCTGCTTTTTCCCTTAGCTGAATACCTTCATGGCCTCTTTCTTTAAGCCATGCTTGAACCAGGCTCTCCACAGGCAAACATATGTTATTTTGAGAATTCCTCCACAGGAGCAACTAAAATGAAAAGCTTAGTCAACCATCAGTAGGTTAATATACTCATTTTACACAAGTTTAACTTTTCTGAAGATGAAAAAATATGTATATTTCCTTACTGGTAGGAAATAGCTCAGGCAAATAAGACTTGTTTGACTGATAGGGGAAAGGGAAGGAAAAACCCCCAGTGTAGTGTTGAATTAAAAAGAGGCAAATTAGTGAATTTGCTTGAAACACAGCTAAATATGTAATGCCTTAAATCCTCACCTCCAAGAAAAGGCTCTATTGAAGTTTTTTTTCTTGCTCTACTTACATGATTTTCTGAAAAAGAATCTAACAGTTTTGGAAAGATGCTCAGAACAGTTTAAATAACAAACCAAAATCACCTGTTGGTGTCAACCCCTCCCATGAATGCTCCTATTTTCCTTCCACTGCAGAGAAGGTGTGTTGAATTGCAACTCTACATATTAGGTGGTTTGAGTATCAGAAGTGTAGAGATCTTGAATCTCTGAGTTGTCTTTTGAATATATGCTTCTATCTTTGCTAGTGAAAAAGAGGTACAGGTAGAAACTAGATACACAAGTATTAAAGACTTTCAGTCTTCATGAGGACAGTGTTAGCTTTTCTTAATGTACATACTGTGGGACCTTCGCTGAAATCAATCTATATTAATCTATATTAAAAAGTGCCACAGCAAACATTATATGCCAGGTGCAGTAATTGTGTGTCTTAATTTTTCATCTTAGTGCTCTAATGCAGCTGTTAAACACTGACAAAAGCTTTGTAAAACTACGTAAATATGTACAGTTATAACATGTTCTTTCCTTATCCACTACAGTTTATTTAAAACCAGGGACAATTTTTGAATATACTTATTCTTTCCAGAGGACATTACCTTAGGCTTGTCTACACTGAGTTTGGTTCCAATCAGTCTGTCTCCATCCACTCTGCTTTTCTAGTCTTGACTAATTTTAGAAAATCTGTCATCATCAAGCTCTTGCATGGCAGTTCTCTTCTTCAGATTCCTAACAAATAAATACAGGTCTCAGCACAGATCTGGAGACGCTCAGTCCTCAGCTTTAAGTTTTGGAAAATTAAATATTTCTTTCTGAATTAACTCACTATAATTAACTAAATACTGCTATTTAGAAAACCCCAAAACAACCAACCACCCAACCACACTCTGTAGAACCCCCTCCCCATGTTTTACTAACTCAGTCACATAAGACTGCAATCCTTCATGACCAATGCCACAGGCATAGCGTGGTTATGAGCTGCCAGAGCACAGGATTAACTCAGTTTACAGTACAGCAATTTCATACACAGCACCATGAAGTGCAACAACACAGCTAAATATGCTGGCACAGGATCAGTAGGGCTTTCAATACCTTTTAACATGTACTACTACCCCTCTTCAGAGCATGGTGCCTCTTTTTGGCAATCCCTCTTGGCCACACATTCCCCAACAGGTGCCACAATCCATGGGTCCAAGTCTGTGGATCTTGGGAGGCCCAAGATCAGGGCAGGCTAACACTGCTTTCCTATCACTACACTTTCTCAAGGCTCAGTAGTGAAGAGTCCATAAAGATCTATTTAACTCTGTTCTGGCTCTGACCTCAGCACAATTTTCTAAAGAAGCAATTTTGTAAACTTTACAGAAAGCTCTCTGCTTCTCAACCCAAGATTTATTTGATTCAGGATTACATCTTCTCTACCTTTTTTAAAGCAATTCTAGACGTGATGCTGAACTGAAAATCCTGGAGCTGCCTGTTAAACAGAATAGCAGGCGAAATAGGAGCAGCTGAAGCACATGTCATTTCTCATTGAAGCACCTTAGACCTGACCAGCAGGATGGCACAATGGCAGAAGTGAAATTCACTTCATACCAACTACATAGATACAAAAAAATAATTCACACTGAATTTGAAGAAACTATAGGGAGAAGCAGTAAGTTCCTTTGTCATCACCCTGAGCATTTATTTTTAAGTCTCTCCTTTTATTCTGGTTATCCAAGAACAAGTTTAATCACCATATCAAAGCTGAATAACCCCCAGTAGGATTAATTGTCCCTCTGTAACAACAGCACGTACACAGCTAAGCATGTTCTTGAGGGGATTACAAATCCTTCTGCTAGATTCTGATCACCTTATCTACACTTCAGCTTCTTGCAGTGGTCAATGGAAAAATCCAAAAACCCACACAGGCAACCTTATAATCTGCTTTTGCACATTTTCTTTGTGAATTGTGATTGCTTCTGCCCTCCCTCTTTGACTAGCCAGACAAGCTTAATGCTGGTCCCACAGGAAATACCAGGCTTCATGCACATTTTTTAATGCAATCACCTTCAACATTCTCCTTGGGTCTTCCAGGAGAAAAAGTTTTTGTTTCAAACCAAAATGATTAATAATTAATAAATGATTTTGTTACAAATAACAAAATCTCTGTCACATGATACAAAAGTCCTTGCAGCTACTCAGCAGCTTCTATTGGAATCCCACCAGTCTCCTTATTTCTTGATAGATAGGAGCAGCCAGTTCTTTGGCTTTCTCTGCTCCATCCTCTAAAACCTTTATCAGATGAGACTTGTCTTCCTGGAGTTTCTTGATTTCATTCCTGATAGGTGCAAATTTTTGGATAACGGCCTCTGCCACCACCATTTTGTAGTGAGCAGTGTCGAGACCAGTGGCTTGGTGCAGCACGTCTTTGATACTCAGCCCCGTCACTGCGGCGTGGATGGACACCAGGTTGGAGACACCGGGGCGGGCGGCGGGCTCGTAGGTCACCTCTGAGGTGAAGTCAGTGACAGCTTTGCGGAACTTCAGCACTATTTCATCTGGGCTGTCTGCTATGGTAACGGTGGCTAACTTCTGCGGGTCTGACTTGGACATCTTCGCTGACGGATCTCTGAGGGATTTTATTCTCTTTGTTGTACCTTTAAAAACAAAAAGTTATGAGCGCAGACAATGGTTTCTTATGACAATTGCTAAGAACGATGTGCAGCTATATGATGAAGCTGTTTATTCTTGCGAAAAAATGAAATGTGAGCACAATCATGTATGCTCTGTTTAGTCGTTGCACACTTCCTGTCCTTCTAAGAAGCCACCTTTCTCCTCTCATAAGCTGAATGAAGCCCATTCCATATCTCCCATCCTCAACAAGCAGGAACTTCTGCTGGAGCTAATTCTAATATTTTATTAATTTGCTGATTTCCCCCCAGATTTCTCCCCCCTTCCATTACTGCACCTTACTGAATGGTTCTGAGCAGTGGAGAAACAGGTTAACTCCACTGGTTAAAAAAAAAAAAAGAATCCCATAACAGTTAATCTCCTTATTTCAGGAAACTCTTCCACTCAAAATCTCTTGCAAATTCTCCTAAATCTCAGTAAAACAGTTATTAAAATTTTCTAACTCAACACTGACCAGCTCTGTTAGATGTAAAGCACTGTTTAGATAAGAAAGGTGTGGGTATTGTACAAAATGCTAAGATACATGCATGTACATGAAACAGATAAGTGGCATTAGGAGAATATTGCAAAGTACTTTAACAGCATCAATCCACACTGCTTCAGTTTTTCAACAAGAAATATCATTCATGGAGTACCTAAATTATCATTTATCTACAGAGTACTTATACCAGTTGTTTTTAGACACCTAATACAGCCAACAAAATTACCTGCATACTGCTCATAGATGGCCTATGTACTCAGTGAAAGGATAAGGGTTCTTCCAGCATAAAATTCAGCCTGCCTCAGAAAGTGTTTTGTTCTGAAATCACTTTTTGGAAGAGCCTCTTCTGCAAATTTGAAAGAGTCCAGGTAATTAAATTGTCTACAGCTAGTGAATCTGAATAGGTCCCCTACCTTCTCCATTCATCTAGGATGTTTTGTTGGTTTGCATATACTTGTGAAATAGTACTTCAGAAGTACTACTTAAGAAGGAATGCTTTTTGGGAGCAAAATGAAATGTTTTTTTCCTTTTTTATTTCCAAATTGAGCTTTTTATTTAATGGTAAACAGTCTCACCTGCATCAGAGGCTACACTCAGCTCCTCTTTATAGTGCTTAGTACTCCATTAGAAATGGTAGCATTTGCAATCCCTAATATTCTCAAAACACCACTCCAGGTCTAACATAATTTTTGTCACTGAGGCTTGAAAATTGAGAAAGGTTTATTACTGCCTGTCTTTTCTAAGGTGAGAGCTCCTTGCCCTTTTGGGGGCGAAGGTCTCTGCTGTGCATTCCTCTACATTACTTACAACAAAGATGCAACGCTTCATCCTTGCCCAATTCTTCACGTTTCTTAGCAAACATGCCATTTGCGCCATCTGACTCCTCCTCACCCCCCGGCCTATGACCTTACAGCTCAAAAATGGCTGAGAAGATTTTCCTTGTAAGTCTTCCTGAGACTAAGATCAAAACCATAAAGTCTTAAGCTCTGCGACAGACACATATTGAAATACTCAAGCATATATTAAACACCCTTAAAAAAATTGGAGCACTGTACATATAAGCCAACAGGCTGTTCAGCATCCTTAAAGTAAACATCTCTGACTTGGACACTGAAGAATTCTGCTTGCTAGAGGTCTGTTGCCTTGTTGCTTACATGTCTCCTGAATGAGCAACATGGAATAGAGACCCTACTCTTTTTGAAACGTCCAGTGCTTGAAGAGCAAGGCTGACTGGCAGCAGAGTGCATCTGGCCCGCTGGACTAGAATACCAGACGTCACGTACATTCCTCAACCATGGATTTCTAAAGCCTTATATCTATCTTGGGAGTTCATTTTCACAGCCTCTAGGCTCTTTTTGCCAGGTTTTAATTTTCCACTCCCTTAATATCAGTTTTCCCCCTTTTCTTGGTCCCTGAAACTATTTCCACAATGTTTAAATCCATCTTCAACTTCGAAGTGCAGTTAAGGGAAAAAAAATAACCAACTCACTTAAAATGGCTTTGGGCACAGGAAAGAATTCTCCATATTTCTTGTTGAAATGTTGTGCTATATCTTGGGCTAGTTCCAGGTGCAGGACTTGATCTTCTCCAACAGGAACACGTGTTGACCTTTTAATAAAAGACAGATACAGGAAACTCAGCAAAGCTCTCTGGTTCTGCTGAAATGTTACTCAAGACTGTAACAGCTTCTGCCATGACTGAGGGCTAGACTGAGCCAAACACTCAGTCCCAGCTAGATAAAGGTGCTGTGGGAGCAAGATCCCAAACTGAACATATTCAAGGATGACTCTGCTTTTTGTGCTGAACTGAAGCACATAACCATGGGCAAAAATAGCCCTTTGTGAAGACATATATGACAAAGATACCTGTAAGAGCAACTCATTAAACTCAGCTCAAAGAAAGGTTTCTTTAGTATCTCCTGCTGCCTCTTTAGAGATCAAAGAGCGCATGCTATAGTGTAAAAAAAAAGTAAGAAAGATCTGCAAGGCATAAAGTGCAGGCAGCTTGTCATGTCAAGTCTCAGGAAAACATAACTGCTGTTGAGGAGTTAGTACTGAGGATGTATCAAGGGAAGGAAAGAAGAGAGTGTTTCTTCTTCATCACAATTGTATAAATCATGTGGTCCAGTGCCTCTATTGTCACAAGTGTTATTAGAGGATTAGAACTGCTGGATTCAAAGGATAATTTGATTTTCTGTATTGAACTCAATGGCTTGAATACACTTCTGGAGGGAAACACAATCTGCATCAGAGGACATGAGGAGGTGAAGAATCCATTACTTCCCCTGGTGATTCTTTCCCACAGTTAATCATACTTGCTAAAAATGTATGATTCTTTTAGATGAGGCAAACTTGAAATCTTGCCAGCTTTTGATTACTCTCCCATCCCCCAGCAGATTTTTTTTCCTAAGGCTTACAGGGTATATAGCTATGAATACTGGACATGTTCCAAAATAAGGAAGTTCACCATGCATCTTTTAAGTTCCCAGAAAATTTCAGATCAACATGGTATGCTTTCCTTCCGATTCTGAATTACTGGGCTGACATCCAGGAATTAATTTGTCCACCTTTACTCTCAACCAGCCAGCAAGGCAACCTAAAAACAGTTACAGTAGGAATCAATAGGAAATCACAGTGCCCTATAACTGAGAGAAAATCAGTAACCATAATCAATATACTTTAAGCAGGTTGAAAGAAATGTTTCCATATGCCAAAATGGTTCCATATTCACAAAGTTTGCCACTAAACAAAAAACATATTATCTTCATAAAAGTCTCTGCACGATGTCTTACCTTTTTCCTTGCTGGCTTTTAAAAAAATTTTTCTATTCTGGTGCTATTTTTACTTCTTTCTGTCATGCATTTACCTTCTGTCCATTTTCCTGTCTCTTTGATCCTTGATTCATCTGAGCTAGTACTGTTTCTCCCCCTCCTCCAGCTCTAAATTCTACTTCATGACTGCTGTTCCCTTCTTGCGTTTCCGTTTCTCACCAATTCTTGTTTCTCATACTATTTTGTTTACATTAAAACATTTCTTATTAAAGACATTAAGTCAAGTTTCTTCAAAGAGATATTGTTTCTCTTTCAATTCCTTGTTTTGTGCTCTGGGTGGACAGCCTGCTGTTAATACAGATAGTAGCCAACAAACCACTGGCTTTGCTAAGGAAAGATGAAACACCTGATCTTATTAGAGATGGAAGAGACAGACATGGTTGAGCTCAATGAAAACACTGTGATTCCTGATAAAGTTGTCTAAATTTCACCCTTAATATTTGATGCTCAAATCACTCAAATATTTGACAATCAAATGGGACTCACTTCAAATAAAATCATTATGATATTCAAAATACTTCTGCCTTTTGCTTGCTTCCTGTTATTTTTAGTTAAAATTTAGGTAAATTAGAAATACCATCCCTTGGTCTTTTAACAGTCCCGTGTTCCCTACTATGATAAATCAACATGAAATTTCTCTAGATACATTTTTCTGAATTCACAGCTGGTTAATCTTGGTTAGTCTGACCTGACATCCTTGTCCTCAGTTCTGTGTTAATTCTCTGTCCCAATCTATACCCACAAGTTCCTTCAGAACAATGCTACAAAGTACATATGCTCTGAACATAAAAAAAATCATATATGGTGCACTGTCTTCAACATTTACTTACTGAGACAGTTTAGATCATATTGTGAAATACAACCAGTGATGACAATGCACTACAAATTCTACTAGCCATTCTACAGGCTTAGGCATGCTGAGTCCTCAGTCCCTCACTAGGGGCTGTTTGCACTGCAGCACTAGCCAGGTACTACAAGCTGCAGTCAATAAGTTACACTTTTTCACAGGTATGAAGTGGCCTACACAGAATCCCCCACTAATATTGGTATGCTACATACAGACAGTTTAAGTACAGTACGCTGCATAAAATAAAGCATAAGTGCTTAAAAAAAAAGCGTATCAGTGTGAATGTGCAACATGTATAATTAAAAATCAGTCTGTTACAATTGCCTAAGAATTATTCTCACATGACCAGATTTTGCTCTTTACAGCCCTGTCAGTAGCTTTTTAACCAGGCTAGATTTCAACCAGCCACTCAAGAGTCTGTCTGTCATCCATTTCCAATCTTCTGATCTAATCACACCCAGCTCCCCTGCTCAATAAGTTAGCATGTTGACCTGACAGGCATTCATTCCAATGCAGCTCAACAGACATTGCCCATGGGCTCACATTCTGCCTCTTACTTGTACAGCAAAATATCTGCTGCTTGAAGCACAGGGTAAGTCAACAAACCAACAGTTCCTTCGCTGTTCTGGCTGGCACGCTTCATCTGTTTGGAAAAGAAAAACAGAAGAATCACACTTTTGACTAATGGTATCAAGGTCTGTGATTTTAATTAGTTAGAATTCTGAATAATTGAGTAATTTATTATGTAGCTCTACAGAAGACAGTGTCAAGTAAAATCCACTTCTTATGAATATATTCTGGTTGATGTCTTATATTTATGAATTTCTCTACACTGTTCTGATATTCTAGTGAGAAGGGAACATATTTCTTTTGTTTTCTGTTTGTAACCATACTAATGGAAGTGATTTCAAATGCAAAACCATAAGGCTAAGTTATTAAACTTGAATATTACACAAAAATCCCTCTTTTTAAATAGTGTCTTCAGCAATAAATTTCTGAAACACTTCATAATGGAGATACAAAAAGATTTTAAAAGGTATTAACCTGTGTAAGAGATCAAGACACAGTGATCACACACAGTCACCAGGACAGCCAGTGACAGCTGGGAGAAGCCAGACCTAGAGAGGCAGAGTCCAGTGCTGTCTCCATCAGTTCTCACTGCTCCCCACAATCTACCTAATGCATTCAAGTCCTCTACTGCTCCCTGATATGGATCACCTAGATCAAGACAGTCAGGCTGCAAACACTAATTCTGTTATAGCAATGACATACCTGTGTTTTACTTTTAGCAATACTTAAATATACTAACCCCCTTGAAATCTGAATTATTTCATTAGGACTGATCAAATACATTTCGACTTGTCTCGCACTCTCCAACAGATCCTGAATTCTGTCTCCATCTTAAGTGCCTAGGGTTCAGGGAACCTAATTTGCAAAGCCTAGCACCTGTAACACCTATCTGTAGGTCTGGAAAGTCAATCCAGTCAAAGTAGGATTTAGGAGCTTAACTTTAGAACCTCAGGTTTGAAAAGGTTTGCTTTAATCTATGCCATGCATTAACACTGGTTGCTGTATTTAAGTTTTACTGGTTTTATTTAATTAAGAAGGAAAACAGGAAAAAAGAAAACATCTGGAGGTATTTAAGACTGCTCTGAACTCTGCAAGCCCAAACTGCTCTTAAGCTGTTGGGGTTTTTTTCCCCCCTTTTCAGATACTTTTCTCTCCTGTCTTTTTCTGCTTACTAAATGTCAAAATAAAATACAAGGAAATTAAATGTAAGAACTCTATTGATGCAGTCAGGCTAATGCAACACCAAGATTAAGAAGATGAACATTTGACACTCATAAAGGCAAACGTTTAAGATACAATATCACTCAGCACATTTTTAATATTTATAATTTCTACACTCCTCTTCAAACATATGCCTCTTTTGAACACTCTTTCATAAAATCTACAGAGCAGCCACTCTTTATAGTGGAAAATAAAAAGCTGTTTATGGAACTCCTTAATCAGCAAGGCCCAAGGTTTCCACTGCAGTATCTTCCATTACTTCTGCATTATTAAACAAGCACTGAAATAACACTGAATGTTCTAGCAGTTTAATAACAGAAAACAAACCTCCTTTTTAGCACAGTTTTTCTGCAAATCTCTGCCAAAACCACAATTCTGTAGCTTCCAGCAGGAAAATGTTCATTAAGAAGAATAGACCAGGAGAGGTATGTTTTACCCCTTCCACCACAGGACTACAGAATTACTTAAACCTAAAGCAAGCACAACCAAAGTAAAGTTGGTACTTCATAGATGACAAGTATTTCCAGGATAACATTTCTACTCAATTCCCATGAATTTCTTTTAAATTTACCAAACTGTCCATACCTTCCACTGGGGCAAACGTAGCAGACGTGGCACATTAGTTAAGCACCCAAGAATCCAGGCAAGTTCTGCATGCTCAGGAACCTGAAAGTATGAAGTGAGAATCTATTTAAATCTTCCTCCTTTATATGCATATTTTCTCAAAGTCAGTAAGAATAAATTACATCAAAGATGAGAAAACCATTTATTTCAGTATATTACTTTTTCAGTAAGGTCAAGCGACAAACTAATGGAAAGTTTTGGACACTGCCAGGATTGAATGCTCTATATTAAAATAGTATAGCAAGGTTCTTGATCCCATCCACCCATATTCTAAACAAGGAAGAAAATGCTTTAGCAATAGCAGAGTTGAGCACACATGCAAACTCCTTTGCTTGAATACTTGATTCACTCTTTGCAATATTGGCAGGTTTGAATCTTTAAGAGGATGTTAACTGTCTCAAAGATGTTCAAAGCTTCATGCCTGCAATATAATAAATATAATATAATATAATATAATATAATATAATATAATATAATATAATATAATAATATAATATAATATAATATAATATAATATAATATAATATAATATAATATAATATAATATAATATAATATAATATAATATAATATCTCATACAGAAGGCAGTAAAAAGTGTTTCTTAACAAGTAAGAACCACTAGGGTCATTAATTGCAATTCTTTTGTTGTCACATTTTAAATACAGTAATTTCCTAGCTAGCAGTCATTGGACTACTTTGGTGACCAATGTGTAAAAGTACCCAACCTCCAGACTACAGCTCAGTGGTTAGAAATATTTCAGGTTGATTCTTTCCCTTCTTTCTGCCTTTCCCACAGATTCAGGGTTTTTATTAATTCCCTCATGCTTATTTGACCTGTAATCTTCTGTGCACAAGACAAAGTGCAACAAAATACTGGAGTAAAATGAACTTCACGGAAAATACTGAGCGCAAGACTCCTATTTCATCTAGAAGGAATCACCATCTGGTTGAAAGTGGTTTCTCATTTCTTTCTTCTAGTCACGGACAGAGAGGAGATGGTGCTCTGTTGCACTTGTGTTGACAAGAACCCTCTTTAAAAGCTATGCAGTCATTGATTCAGCCCTGTCAGATGTTGCTTTCGCAGCCAAGACTGCACGTGCGTTTCACTGGATCAGTGGATTTGACATTACATCAGTTACCAAAACACCAAGTGATCTAAACAGCATTTGTTGGGTTGAATAGATAGTTCTTGGTCTTACCAAGTCATACTCACTTCCTATCTTCAAACACACAGTCCTTTCCTAAATATTACTAAAGTGATGAATATGCTGAAGAAAAAGCCTGATAAAATGGGGACAAAATATGTAGAAGTATACCAAAGGGTAGAGATTTCAGCTGGAATAAAATTCAGTACTGGAGGCTAATGAGTCAGCATTCATCATCCAAATTGAAGGAACTGACTATGTATTGGTGTGTAAATCAGGAGGTTCTAGGCTTAAACCACAAATCATTTGTCAGACTAAATCACAGTTTAAGCCACTGCGTTTTACTTGGCAAGAGGGGCAGGTAATTGCTGCCTTTGGTTGGTCATGGTGTATCCGCTCAAATGTTACTCATTTAGCTATTTTAGTATTTCATCACACTGATTGCACAAATCTGACACAAAGAAACTGGAAGATGCATACGATGATGCATATGACACCAGCAGAATAATGGCTCAGTCTATTCTTCCTTTCACTGAGTAATACCCATGGATCACAATCAGAAGAAGCCACTCTCCCAGAAAAAACTCCATCTGCTTCTTGCTGCAGGTCCATTTAAAACTGCAGGCAAATGTCTTCATTAAACAACCAAAACACAAGAACGTAAGAAATAACACTGTACTGGATCACAACAAAGGCAATGCAGCCTCGTGCCCTATTTCCAGGAGTAGCATTTGGGGCAAACACAGGAGACTACTGCTTCCTGCAGTATCTTCCCCTCATACTTCTCCAGCATCCATAATTGTTGCACTAGGGAATATCAGAAGGAATATTAGAATTATCCCTGGCCCAGTCCTGGTAATGTACCCAGATTCCCCAGGAATATTCAGAAAATGCCCATTTTCTGAACCAGCTGATAGTGCCCACTTCAAAACCCCATGGAGCAGCAAGCTCCAGATGCTTAAACCTGATGTGTAAAGAAATAATTTAGCCACTGATGTATCCATGTTTATTTACTGGTTTTGAATACCCCGTTTCTTATATTGCACAATTCGGTGAACAATTCCACATCCAGTTTATTCAGTGTTTTTCTGATTTTGCAAACTGTGATTGCATATACGCCTCAGCCTTCTCCTCTTCAGACTGAAGCAATCCTGACTTCTGAATTTTTCCTTCTTAAGGCAGCTACTCAATGCCCTGCTGCATGAATTCCTCTCCTTTGTATCATATCTAAATCATTAGTTCATTCTAGAGACTCTAAAACTTCACCCAGTATTCAAAAAATGAGCACATTAAGGTTTTGCATGGTGACAAAACATCATCTCTGTCTTATTCACAATACCCTTTCTGGTGATGTGGTGATGATGACATATCATTAGCTCTTTTGAAAATTGCTTGTGCTGAGCCAATGATTTCAGAGAACTGCCAATGATGACCCCAGGACTTTCTTTCCTGCATTGTGTGAAGAAGTTTTAGAATACTTTTACCCAGATGTTTTAAAGTATTTAAAGATCTTCTACCCCTTATTTGCCTGTCCACTCTGTTTTATGAGTTCTCTTGGAATTCCTTTCCTTGGCATGGCATTTGGCTACACATAAGGACTTAGTACTGTCAGTGAACTTCTTTCTGTTCACTACTTTCTTCAGGTCATGAAGGAAAATGTTGACTAGAACTACTTCCAGCATGAATTCCTGAGCAACATGACTGCTGACCGTGCCATTCAAAAAAAAAGTGAGCATACAGCCTATGTGGCTTTCAATAGCGATATGATTTCTCTTTCAACAGAGAAGAGAGATCTCATATTTGCATAAATCTACAAAATGCTTTTCAGTGGATTCCTATTGTGTTAGGTAGTGTTTATTGTGCCATCACAAGGAAAGCCTTTGTCAGAGAAACATCACTTTTCACACAATTTTCATTAAAAAGAGTATGACTGTTAGAGAGGCGTTCTGCTTGCTTTTTTAATTTATTTTTTAAAGGAAGTTACCCAATAATCCAACTAGGATTTCAAGAAATAAAAGTATAAAGAGCTCCAATTAATTCAGGCTATTCTGTTTACTCTTTAACCAATGAAGAACTCAATTCAATACAAACTCAATTAGTTTGTATTTTAAAATCTGACTACAAACTACTGTCTAGAGCTACAACGTACTTCAGGATCACCCAGTTTTCAAAAGACAACAGATAATAATAAACTTAACTCTTTTCCAATGAACACATAATTTTCTCAGTGTGCCCTCTCCTCCAAGTACATCAGTATAAAAGTAATACAAATGGTAGAAAACCAGAATTACATCTCCAATTAACAAAACTCACAACCAGTGACAGTTGCTGAACTGTATGTCAAACCAAACTCCAAGAATGTCACAATCACTGGTAATTCTGAAAATCAGCTATCAATTAAATCCTTCAGGTCAACTTCAGCTACTTTTATGTCCTGAAAAAAATATAATAGTCTGTTTTCAGTATAAACATTATTTTCTTGGGAAACATTTCTTGCAGCCTTGCTGAAAATATTTCCAGGAATAACAGTTTTTAAGTGCTCTATTTATTGTTTCCCTTTATAAATTCAACTATTTCCCATTTAAAATTTTCCAAAACTTCTTACCCATATCCCTATAGCAATCTCCCCTTCTCAGGCAGCCCAAATCCTACCCTTTGCTCTTCTCAGTAAATATAGCAAGTTTCTCTCTCTTTTCCTGCTCTGTGCTCTTGCTTATTTTAACAATTTTTGTTTTCTAATCTCACACAAGTCTGTAAAAACTATCAACATTTCTCAAAGGGTTGAGATGGCCACCTCTATGCTATTACCTGGGACACATTTCCTCCTTCAATCTCTATTACATTAAGCATCCCCCACAACCTGGCTTACTAATCAGTGGTCTGACAAGGCTAAAGCTGCCTACACAGACTCCTTTAATTTTTTTAAAGCACACATACAACAGAGGTGACCATTTCCAAATGATAATGAGCAGTTATCTAAAAGGCACAAACACTTCTGTTTCTTCACCTGAGCACCCTGCTTCTTCATTATTTACTTGTGCAGCCATTTGAAGTTATTAACCTCAGGTCACATTTCATACTTGGATCTCTGGAGCTTTATATGCTGGAGTACAATCTCAGGGCTTCTTCCTGTAAATCTATTTTTTTGTCCTTGATCCTAGCTATTCCTTACCAAATTCTTGATATTCCCTTGCCACAGCCAATGATATATATATATATATATATATATATATATATATATATATATATGGAAAAGCAGTAGCTACATTTAGTCCAAATAATTCTACATGACTTTTTATGATGAAACATACAACTGAGGAAGACAGCAAGCTGTGAGATTCAAGAACAGTGGTAGAGGCATGAACAGTGGGGGCAGATTTGAAAGCAGGCAAATCAGCAACACTGGGCCTCAGCTTTCTGAGGTTATAATACAAAGTTGTGTGTTGGCAGCTGAAGTGGCTCTCTGCAAAAAGAGATACAGGGTTTTATTTTCAAGATGGACTTCCTCAAGTTGCAACCTACAGCCCTTCTCTGTAAGGCACTGCCAATTTGCTGCATATCTATCAAGTGGAAACAGCTTTCCTCAGCAGAGTAACCTCATTAAGGGCTACATTTTAAAGGGGCAGTAAATTTAAAATATTTAATTTTGACAGAGTACAAACAAAGTCTCAGGAGGTAATTTGGATAGCTGTGTCCTAAAAGAAATTGAAACAGAGAAGGGAAAGAGTCCTACATTTAAAAAGCAATTAAACCATTTCTTAGGACTTTTGTGTCTTCTAGAAGTATCAGTAAGAGCTTCTGCAAAATTCAAGAGGCCTTTTCAAAAGCAAACAATGCTCACATTTTTCTTGAATAAGAGGTAAGGTTTTATTAATGTGTAAGGTTGCAGGTAATATG